GCCCCCCCTCTGCGACTTGTTCGCCCCNCTACGACGCGTTTTGTGCGCGCCAGCCCCTCCCCCCAATTCCCGCTTCCGTGTGTCGCGGCCCCAAGCCCTGGTGCTTTCCCTTCAGCGAATTGAGACGTGGGGTGGCGTGGCTTGGCGGAGGAGCCTGTTGCCGCCGAGCGATTTGCGTTCGGGCAGGCAGCTGCTGCTGCTGCCGCCGCGTGCCGGGCGGCCCGCCGTCCCCCCCTCTTTTCGCTCACTCCGTGCCTGCCGTTCTGGTCGTCACGCCCCTACTCTCCCCCCCGTAACCCGCAGATGCTTGCGCTTTTGCGCTTGCCCCGTCCTCCCCTTGCCCGGTCTTCCCGCGTGCCGCCTTCACCTTTGCGGCCCCCGCCCGCCCGCCTGGCCGCTCTCCCAGCTACTGTGCCGGGGTGGGTGGGCCCGCTTTCTGGTGGTGGTGGTGTGCGGGTCCTCGACCTGCCCCTCCCCCCCACTGGTATGCTTGCCGCCCTTGGGCTGGCCATCAGGCGCCCCTCGCCTCCCTCCCCGCCCTTTGCGCCCGACCGCTCCCTGAGCCCGCCCTTTGCCGCCCGGGCGGTATTGCATGCTTTCATACAGTCCAGAGCTAGTGGGCACGGCTTGTGTGCCCCCAGCCCATTAATGGGCATTGCCTCTGTAACATCACATCACATCACATCACGTTAAATCGTCGTTGGCCGCGGCGTTAAATAAGGAGCTGGATGAGTGCCGGTGGGTGATACCACAGGCACGAGTTCGAACCCCAGCCGGGACACTAGCTGGGACTTTGCCTCACGGCACCTTCGTGGCGGCATCTGGGCGGCGGACGGCTGCCCGGCAGACCGGCATGGCGCTTGCAAGACGGAGCCTCCCCGGGATGCCATCGGCGGCCAGATTCTCCTCGCTCTGGACAGCCGGCAGGGTTAGCGGGTTCGGCCCCAGCACATTAATGTGCCCAATCCCCTGTAACACACACACACACGTTGGCCAGGGTTAGCGGGTTCGGCCCCAGCACATTAATGTGCCCAATCCCCTGTAACAAGAAAGAAAGAAAAGAAGTTGGCCAGGAGCTGGATGAGTGCCGGTGGGTGATACCACAGGCACGAGTTCGAACCCCAGCCGGAACACTAGCTGGGACTTTGCCTCACGGCACCTTCGTGGCGGCATCTGGGCGGCGGACGGCTGCCCGGCAGACCGGCATGGCGCTTGCAAGACGGAGCCTCCCCGGGATGCCATCGGCGGCCAGATTTTCCTCGCTCTGGACAGCCGGCAGGGTTAGCGGGTTCGGCCCCAGCACATTAATGTGCCCAATCCCTGTAACACAGAAAGAAAGAAAAAGTTGGCCGCGACGTTAAATAAGGAGCTGGATGAGTGCCGGTGGGTGATACCACAGGCACGAGTTCGAACCCCAGCCGGAACACTAGCTGGGACTTTGCCTCACGGCACCTTCGTGGCGGCATCTGGGCGGCGGACGGCTGCCCGGCAGACCGGCATGGCGCTTGCAAGACGGAGCCTCCCCGGGATGCCATCGGCGGCCAGATTCTCCTCGCTCTGGACAGCCGGCAGGGTTAGCGGGTTCGGCCCCAGCACATTAATGTGCCCAATCCCCTGTAACCCTCATGTTGCTGTTCACAGTAACTGCTGTTCTCTGCTGCCTGCGGCGAGCGGCGCCCTGTACCGCTGTACAGCGCCACGGCGGCGGCAGTCATGCTGCCGCCCTCGGCCAGAGGCCGCACTCTGTGCGGTTTCGGGATCGTTCTCTTGCTTGCTCCTGTGCTGTTTCCCCCCCCACCCACCTTGCAGCGCGGCGCGCTGGGCTGCTGGCACTCCCGCCCAGCGGCGACGCCGCTACGGGCGGCTGCTCTACTACGGCTGGCCTCCGGGCCCTGTTTGTGCTTTCATACCGTCCTTATCCATGCTTGATTGCATGCCCCACACTCAGCGCTAGCGGCGCTGTTGTCTTCCCACCCGCCTGTAACATGGGGCGGGTGCCTGTGTCCCGACCACCGCCCCCTACCGTGAGCAGCAGCAGCAGCAGAGAACACACACACACACACACACACGCCCGGCACACTAGCTGGGACTTTGCCTCACGGCACCTTCGTGGCGGCATCTGGGCGGCGGACGGCTGCCCGGCAGACCGGCATGGCGCTTGCAAGATGGAGCCTCCCCGGGATGCCATTGGCGGCCAGATTATCCTCGCTCTGGACAGCCGGCAGGGTTAGCGGGTTCGGCCCCAGCATGTGCCACATCCCCCCTTGTCACACAAACCGCCCGATCGGCTCCTTGCCGCCCCGCCGCCCTGTCTGTTGGTTTGTTTCATGCTCGTATTGTCCAGAGCTAGTATTTGTATTGTCCACAGCTAGTATGGCACGGCATGTGTGCACCCAGCCCATTATTGGGCCTTGCCTCTCTAGAACCAGCCGGTCGCCTAACCACCAGCCACCGCCGCTTCCTTGTCGCGCTCTGTGCCCGCTTCCTGCAACCCTGCCCTTCGCCGGCTTGCCAGATGGTTTGCTTCCATAACGGCAAAAGCTCCTGTGCACGGCATGCCGGCACCTCCATGCCGAGGCGCCTCGCGCCAGCCCTGGCACGTGGCCCGCACCTCAACAATCGCAGTCAACCAGCGATCAAGATATGTGTTAAACAATGCATGTGCTATGATCAGTATCCATGCATCATCAAGTCGGGGGCACAAAGCCAAACTGCAAACCAACACGAGCCTGATCAAAGGGTTGTCGAGCAAGCACTTGGCACACGTTAAGCTCCAGCTTGCCAATACGAGTGGGCCACACAATGCCTGCGCCCTGCACATCAGAGCCGCCGCAGGACGGGGCCGGATTCGGTGCAGCACAGCCGACACGGCTGGCAAGAGGCTTGCATACAAGCAAGCAAAACCGCCACCACAGCTATGAACGAGCAACTCAGTATTACGCACCACACTCCAGCGGAAGGTCGTGGTGAAGTCGCGCCATGCGCTCTGCAAGCTACGCCCGATGCCGCTCAATGCCACCAAGTTGCCACCGTTGAGGAACAGGTGGCCGTGGATACCAGCCTGGAAAACACATTGGGCAGCAGGCAAGGAAAACAACAGCACGGGGCCCACATACAGGCTCTCAATCGCATAGCATCTTAGCCAGTCATTATTAGCGACATCACTGTCGGCCAATGCGCATGCCGACAGAATGCAAGGCTGAATAGGAGGCTTTGCAGGAGGCAATCGTGTGCCAGCAGCTCACAGCTTGCATGGCCTCGAAGGGGAGCTGAAAGTTTAGGGCAGCCATGAGGGAGCAGAAGAGGTCACCACCCAGCGCATCCCGCCGAGGAGGCACCCTCGGTGACTGCTGATTGGTGTTGCCTGCCTGCGCACAACACAATGAGGGATGGTGGAAGTGACCGCACCGGGCTGCAAGGTGGAGGAACGCCATCCATCGGGCAGCTTGCTCACAAGGTCCCCCTCTGTTGTGCTCTCCAGCCAGGCTGGCATCAACAGTCTCCCGTCTGGTCACCTCACCTCGCCAGCTGGCCGCCGTGGCTCGCTGGGTCCAACACCCTTTTGTGCAAAGCCACGCAACGCACCGCCACCCAGGCCGCCCAGGAAGAACCTGTCGCTGATGCAGGTTGGGGTGTCCCAGGCGCGTGCTCCCCAGGGCAGCAGCAGCCCCGCCTCTGCTGCGACCGTCAGCGCCGCGCCACCTGATGCCGACATAGGAAACGCCACTTTGCCCATGCAGTGCTGCCGCACAAAGTGCAGGAGGTTGGTGTCCGGCCCTAACCCTGCCATCTGTAACTCGCAACGGTAGCCCCAGCCTGCATATGAACGGGTGCGGTGGCAAGGTGCGGCTGATAAGGCAATGGCAGGCAGGGGTGCGGGTCAGAAGGCCACGCACATGCATACAGATGTCAGCCCGACCTCAAGCCTGCCATCATGCTCATTGCTGCCCAGCCCCGCAAGGATCAGCGCTCACTACCTTGCGTGGGGAAAGCGGGGTTGTCAAAGGTATCGCCCCGCGCCACATACTTGACTGCCGACAGCACCTTGTCGCCCAGCTGGCCCAGCACGGCACGTGAGGCAGTGCGAGCAGGATCTGCCAGCTGACGCCAGCCCAACTCGTATGACAGCGCGTGGCATCCATCTTCGCTGCACCCGTAAGCGGGGGGTGTGGGGTGGGGCCGGTTTAGGTCAGCAATCAGGTGGGAAAAGAGGCCAGAAAGCCTGACAGCAGTGGCCAGCAGCCCCCATCCATTGCGATTGCACCCTAGGTCATGAATCTGAGGGGTTCTGGGGACTGTGGCATGCACAGTGAAACGAGGGCGGTTGGCTGCAAACTCGCAGCCCACCAGGGGCCAGCACACAGGAGTCCACCACAGGTCCCTCATCTAGACTCCCTACCTGCTGAGCGTCAGGGCACCACCGCGCACCAGTTCCACATAGCTCGACCAGCCTTGGTAATTGTGCCCCAGCTGGTGCAGACGCGCATCAAGAAGCAACGACCGGCCCCAGGGCTTGGGCTTGGTGAGGGCCAACGTGTAGATGTTAGTCGCCTGGCTGCCATGCTCAACACCCAGGCTGACGTGCTCCGCGTACCCAAGCGGGTTGGTCAAATTAAGAGATGTCTCCACAGACCCTGCAAGCGGGGCAGGCCAGGTGGCGCCAACAACAGCGGGCACAAGGGAGGGGTGCCTGCGACTGGCCTGGCTGATGGTGCCAAGAGCATTCACACCTTCTGTGCCTTGCACATATGTACCCGCATGCAGCCGCACCATGCCCTTCTCCTGGAAACGCGCCACGACTGTGCAGGTATCGCCCTGTTGCCAGCCACAAAAGGATGAGGGGCGGCCCGCATGCGGATGGGCACGATGCGGCATTGTGGCCGTGACCACTGGTGCAGCAGCCAACGCACCCAGCTGTGGCCCTACCACTGCCTGCTGCATAATTGATTAGGTCACTTCCCACCGCAGATCCAGCCGTCCCTGAGATGCAGCTGGCTGTCCGGACCGGCCTGGAGGAGCCTCACCGATTTGTTGGCCCCCTCGGCGACCACCAGGTCGACGCCGTCAAACACGTCCAGCGCCATCAGGCTCTCGTACGCCTCCAGCGCCGCGTCCCTTATCTCCTCCAGGGTGCGCGCCCCCTTGACCCGCAGCAGCTCCGCCTGCACCACGCCCGCCTTGGTGCGCTGAAGGCCCACCAGCATAATCCGCTCCACCTTGCAGGGGGTACCCGCCAGGCGCTGGAAGGCCGCCTCGAAGGCCGCCTCGAAATCGAAATCGCGCTCGGTGACGCCCTCGGCTGCGTGCGGCTCCGCCGGCGGGGGCATCATCGGGCCCTTGGGACGGCGGTGAGCCAAGTACGTGAAAACAGCTTACCGAGGATATCAGCATTCTTCATCCGTGCCGGCTTTAGTGGCAAGCCTCTCTGTGCTGCGCCTGCTGGGCAGGGTCCGACGACGGGTGGTGGCGGTGACCGCCGCGGTCCGACGCGACGGCACATTGGGGGAGCTGGGCGGGTGCCATGTCACATCAGTGGCTCAGTGGGATGGGCAGGACAGTGGAAGGGAGCAGAGAGGTGCGCAAAGCATAAAAATGAGGTGCTCTGAGTTAGGCCGCCACAGGCAATCGCCAGCGTCACTCCACGCACAGATGTAGCAGCTCATGCACAATGCGGACCCTAAAGTTGTCGATGTGGGCCTGGGTGAAGTCCAATGGCGCGGCGCGACCCACATAATTTGCAAACAGCAGCGTGAAGACGCCGCAGTCGCAGCCATTGAACTGTTGCGGAATGCGCTTTGGGAACTCGCGCGGCCAATCGAGCACGTCGTCACGCTGCAGTCCCGCATGGCGTGGATGGACGAGGTATGGGGAGCAGGCAAAAGCAGCACAGGGGCAACAGCTAGGCATGTAGAGCATTGCCCCACAATTCTCATGCCCACGACCATGTTTGCATTTGTCCTGGTCTCTGCCCACCTGCAGATTGCGCTTGTTGCGGAATTCGTCTCGCAGGTACAGCGCCAGCTGCTGTAAGCATTTGTGGTCCTCTCCCTGCAACACACAGGTCCGGTGTAGCCCGCCAATGACAAGTAGCAATCTGTGCTGCAGCAATTCACCCTTCTGTGCACATGCAGAACCCTGTTGAGCTGCCATTGCAGCTGCGCCTGCACCTTCAGCGAATCGTAGTAAACCAGCTTCTGGTTCTGCAAATCGATAACGGCGCACACCCAGTGCACGCCCTGGTGCACCGGCACCACAATGCGGTCGCAGTCCAGGATGCTCTCGCTGGTCTGACCTGCTGCCGCAAGCCGCTTGGGCAGCGTCCAGCGCCGTACCTGCGCAATGCCAGGATGCAAACCGAGGAAAGCACACCTACATGGAAGGCTTGCCACCCAACAACCCCTCAACTTGCAGCGCCTGCCCACCGCCCCGACTGGGCTATCGGCAACAGCACCCACTTGGTCATAGTTGTAGCCAATGTCCTTGTAGAGCTTATTGGCAAAGAAGGTGCTAAAAAAGTGGCAGCGCGGCCCCGTTCCCTGCAGCAGTAGGCTACCGAGACGACTGGTCAGCATTCCTCACCAACACCACCCATCGCCCGCTCCTCTCCCACCGTCTACTCCTTAGCATGCACCTGCTTGCGCCAGGCAGCATCGCGCTCCAGCAGTAGCGAAATGTAGAGGTTGATGACCTCGTCGTTCAGCCATTGCATTGGCGCCATACAGGCCATGTCCTTGCGGGTCACCTGAATGGAGCTGCGCGCGTGGTCTACGAGCACCTCGCTGGGTGGGCCTGTAGCGGAGAAACAAAGGTAGGGGTGGGGTCGGCAAACGGCAGGCAGAGCGGGCGTGCTTGACCACATCATGCCTCTGGTATGGGTCTAGCTCTGGACATTTGCTTGTCAATCATGGCAATGGCATTCAGTAAAAGCTGGTGATTGTGCCAGCCAGCAAGCCAGCAAAACATGGCTTCCCTGACACTAACCCGGTGCAAGCGCGGCTTCATACTCTGCCCCCCACTCGTCAGGGATGGGCGGTGGCTCAGGCCTACATGAAGACCAGTTGTGCACTGATGCAATCAGCGCTTAATGTGGTCGCAGTTTGTACACAGCTCAATCCTATGACACCCTTGCTAGTCAGCAATCACTTCTTACTCTTCCGCCAGCCCGACCCGCTCCAGCTGGTGGCTGACTTCGGAGCCTCCCTGGTCTGACTCAGTGGCCCCGGGTACGATGCTCACAGAGGCCTGCAAGGCAGCATAAGCACATCACAACATTCACGGCAGTCGAAAGGTATAATGTCATCGGATACATCCACAGCCAAAAAAGCCCCAGCATTTTTGCGAGGCAACAACACATCAAGAAGCAGCAACTCGCTTTGTGCACCTCGGCTGTTGCTTCCTCGCTACTGCTCAGCAGCGTGACCACTTCCTCTTCAGCAGCTGCCAACAAGGCCGCTGTTTCCTGCATTTCTTGTCGCTGCTGCTGCCCCAGATAATCGGGCTGGTGTTGGTGCTGTGCTGCAGGCTGCGCTTGCTGCTGTCGTTGTAGCTGCAGGAGCTGCAGCTGCATCTCTATCTGCAGGCGAAGTAACGGCTGGAGGCCTGGGTCAACACCAGCATGCCGAAAACACAAATGCAAGGATTTCGGGAAGTGTGTGCGAACTTCTCATGTAAAGCAACACCAGCAATACATATGCAGTTTTGCCGGCGCATGCAACCTTCCTTCTGCGCCTCTGCTTCGAGCAGTTGCACCCGCTGCGGCTGTCCATGCTCCAACGCCGTGTGCGCCTGTTGCACAAAGTAAAGCTCCCGCTCCTGTGCCTGCAGCGCGCGCCGTGTGGCCAGCTGCGCCGCTGCTACCAGCTCTCGGTAGCGATCTTCACCTGTGTGGGGACATGTGGTGCAGAACAGGCAGCAGAGCAAGGCGCGGCTGGGTTGGCTGGCAGTAGGGTTGCGGAATCAGCAGCGGCAGGACTGTACAAAGATGACTTTTGCACTACTGGAAGGATGTCAGCGGTGTGTGTCAGCGGCGCACCGTCTGCAGCAAGTCCAGCAGGTGCCGCCGGCTGATCTTTGCGCAATTGGCTCAGGTCGTCATCCTGCGCTACAACCTGCAACAGTATCTCGCGCCAGCGTCGGGTGGATGCACCGACTGCCATTGCTGGCGCTGTAGCCACCTGTGCCCACTGCTGACCCTGCTGCTGCTGCTGCCGCGGGGCATGGTGGGCGAATGAGGGTAATGTCAGGTCCATCTCCTCAACTCTTGCTGGCTGCTGCAAGCACACAGGCAGGCACAAAAGCAATCTTTGGCAAAAGAAGCTCCACCATCTATCATGACATTGTTTAACAGCTCATACTGCGGCGGTGCACCTCGTGTTGCTGCTGACGAAATTCCTCCTGACGCAACTTGGCGTCCACCGCCCAGCGCAGTAGTGTGGCATCCTGCTGGCCGCACATCGAGGCAGGATTGTGGGAAACCTGGAGCAAACGTGCTGCTTACGCGCGAGTAGCAAAAAAGAGCCGCCAACAAAACCCATGCAGGTATGGGACCAGCTGTGACGCTCATGCCCTCCTTGCTTGCCTGCAAATCGTCAGGCTTCACGGCACTTGGCAGCAGGGATCCAATGTCGTCAGTCCCCTGCTGTTGGTGCCATGCCAAGTTTGCAGGGTGCCGCAGCTTGTCCTGCTGATTGTGCTGCAGCTGTTGAAGCGCGCCAGCATTCTGGCCACTTGTGAAGGTGCCCTGCACCTGCCCCAGAGCCAACTGGGGTGGAAGCTGCTGGATTGCAGGCGTCAAGCGGAGCTTGCTATGGGAGGGGCCCGCCTCCCGCACATGCCTCACGCCCTGCACCACATACGAGGCGGTGGGCAGGTGGGAGGAAGGTGGATGTGCATCAGCAGCACCAATCAAGCGCAGTTGCTCAGCCAGTGGCACAGCAACCCACGGTGCTGAGCGCCCCGCCAGCGCTGCCCACCAGCTTGCTCACATTACTTAACACAGGGAAGCTGACGTCACTGCGCTGCGCCGTCATGCGCGGCTGTTTAAAGCGCTTGGCCAATGGGCGGCCACGCGGTGCGGTGGCAGCGATCTGTGGTGGTAGTGGTACTCCTGTTGCGGGCAGCATGTCGTGTTGCCTGCTGCGCAGCCCCACCGCTGTGCCTGCCAGATCTGCTGCGAGCGAGCCATCCAGCCGCCTGGTGGGGCCTGGCGTGCTGGCACCTGCTTGCTGCGGGTGGGTTGTGCCAGGGGCTGCTGCACCTCGCAGCCCCTTGGTGCCCCCCCACTTCTGCCCATTCATAGCCGGCGAGCTGAAGTCTAGCCGCTCTGGGACGCGCCTGCCTGCCGACCCCACCGCCTGCTGCGGCTGAGGGCGCTCGCTGGAGGGCGGCGGCAGCTGCGACGGCAAGGCCCCGTCCTCCTCCTCCTGACGCTCGTCGACCGCCTTGCGCTTGCGGCCGGTGAGCGACTTGGAGACCGTCGCTAAGGCATTTTGGAGCCAGAGGCGCACAGTCATTCGCCGTTTGACGGCTGCTGCGCCGCAGCAGATCAACACACACAAAGAAATGATCAGCTTCCTGCACTGGATGGACCACCTTGCCCCGTCTGCTTTTGCGAAACAAGCAAGAAACCCACCGTGCTGAGAAGCCCTGCTGCGCCCCCCCCCCCTTGTCTGGAGACTCCGGCGGCCAAGGTTGAACCTTCCCGTTTCCTCATTCCACAGTGTTCGAGCGGCGACGTGGTCACAGATCAGTCTCGCCGCTGCGTTGGGCATAGCCCACCTCTCCAGCGCGGCTCCTCAGCCTTCAGACTGCGTTAACCCATGAACGCGCCGGACCGGCAGGAGAAATTCGTGCTGCCGGAGGGGGTGAAGAAGTAGGTGGCGCGCAGCCCCGCCGCCACTTGCCGTCGGCCAGTGCCCATGCCGTGCACTTTGTGAAACGTCGCAGGGCGGATTTCAAGTCGGACACGAAGGTGGCAAATGCTGGGACCTTAACGATACAGCGGGAAGACCATACTGTTGGCAACTTGGTCCGCATGTGGGTCGGTTGCTCCCTGGCATTGCATTTGCCATCTTCGTTAACACAATGGTGCGGGCATGATAGAGCTGCTACCTGCTTTGCCTGCCACGCCGTGCCGCAGGCAGCTACACCGCGACAAGGCAGTGGTGTTTGCAGGTTACCGCATTCCGCACCCACTCGAATACCAGATGGTGATCAAGGTGGGACCGGGCTCGCCTTGGGCTGTGTCAAGCTGGGTCTGATAGACCTGTCACCAGACTTGGACAGGCGGCAGCTCTCTGAATCCTGTGCCACACCGTCCTTCCTGTGCCACGCCTGCACGCCACCCACCCTTCATGCGCGCAGGTGCAAACGAGTGGGAAGAAGACGCCCATTCAGGCAGTACAAAACGCGCTGCAGGACCTGGGAGATGAGGTGCAAGACATTCGACAGAAGTTCCAGCAACAGATGGAGGGATTCGAGGGATAATTTAACGTTTTTAATGAGAGTAAACAAATCACCATCCCGTACCTTTGACTTTTAAGACAACCAGTAGTTCATTTTGATCTGCTCGTCTGTGATGCCTTGTTTGCATTGGTTATTTTTCCACGCGAAAGCAAATCAGTATTGGAAATGCTACAGCGGCAAGCGCCTCCTGGTCGAGCGGATGTCACCTGGAAAGGCATCTTGAGAGGCAAGATGGTGTCAAGGATGCAACACAGTCAAAAACTGGTTTGTTGCATATCCTTCGATGGTTTTACCTCCAGGGCTTTCTCAACGTGACCCATATGGGGCCTGGCTGCGCACGCAGGGCAGTATGCCTCCAAGGGAATGGAGTACCGGTGGACCTCCAGCCAACCCCCCTTAACCTGGAGCACTTGCCCGCTATAGAGTGTCGCTTGGCCCGCCCATTCAACCTGTCTCGATTTCATGAATTGCCAGCCGATGGTGTGGAAACGTTCATTTTCTCCCAATAGCCAGGACAGGTTGCCCCTGTGTCAAGCTGTCAGCTTCCCTTGTTGTCCTAGTCAACTTGTAATCCCACTCACAAGCGGCCGTCGTACATTACATGTTCATGTTGATGTCGCAGCAGCAGGCCCCTGCCCCTGCTGCGCCATAGGATCAACAGTTCGGGATGGCGGTTGATTGCCCTTGGCACCCCACGTCAACTACCATTCTGCAGGAGGCCATCCTGGACCGCTGCCGGCGTGCCCACAACGTTCTCGACCTTGCAGTCCAGCTGTGGATGTGACAAGCCAAGGGCCGTGCCCCGCAAGAGCTCGCACGACAGAGAGGTGAACTCCTACATGGGGCACGTAAGCTGGCACCTTATGAAGCCGTGCTACCCACCAGCATCAAGTTGGTGCGAAACTTCTTTGTTTACTGCGCATTGGAGCTGCTTTGCCCCGACCTGCTGCTTTGAAACTGCATATGGCGCGCGCATTTCCATCAAGCCCATGAAGCCCCACCTGCTGCAGCTCCTGCAACGCTTGAGCTCCCTTGCGTCGCAGCGCCTCGGACCGGTCCAGCTGCTGGTGCAGCATGCTGTTCTCCAGTTGCAGCTTCTGCATCAGCGCCTCCAGTTGATGTATCTCGGACGGCTGCTGCTGCTGGCCCCGAATCGACTGACCCGCCACCGCCAGGCGCTGATTCTCTGCCACCAGCTCCTCAAGCGCTGACAGGGAGAAACCTGCAGCAATGGTGGCGGCAGCGGCCGGGGTAGAGTGCCTGAAGGCAGTTGCCGGGCATGAGGGCAGCTACCCAGTTGGGGGGATTTCAAGTAGCACAGCCCTGTCATCATGGTGTTTGCATAATCACACGGCCGTACGGGTGGCACACTCACGCGAGTCCAGCACTTCCAGTGCCACACGTGAGCAGCCAGGCGGCAGTTCCTGCAGCCCTGCCACCTGTGTGAGCGCGAAAAACCTGAGGCGCTCCAGCGGCACGCCCAGCCTGCCGGCGCAGCTGAGCGCCAGCTGGTCGCAATCGCTGCCGCCAGCAGCCTGTTGCTGCTCCCGCAGGCTGAAGGCCGGCGACAGGATGTCCAGGGACAGCAGCGCCGCCGCCTGGCAGGATGGCTGCAGCTGTGGATGGGAAGCTGGCACGGCCAGCGTCAACGGCGGCACGTGCACCAGGCTGGGTGCCTGCCGCGGCGCAGGACCCGGGGGCAGCCCTGCTGGTACTGCTGCCGGCACGCCCAGCTGCCTGGCCGTGCCAGGTGTGTCGGGGGCGGCATCTCCTCGCGACAGTGCCGCCAGATCGGCGCGCAGGGACAGAGGCGGGACGCGGCGGGTGGCGGGGCTAGCGGGGCTGGCGGCGGCGGGGCGCGGGCTGTCGCCCGCCTCTGAGGACCAGGAGCTGGTGCTGGTCTCGCTGCTGCTGCTCGCCATCTCCGAGTCTTCTTCGTTGTCCGTGCTGGCCGCCATGCTAGAGCTGTTTGCCGGTAAAAGCGGTAAACGTTTGTTCAAAAGTTAAGAGAGGCTAGTATGAACGGCCGGCTTCCAGCCTCTACACGGTGATGCGTCGGAGGAGGTGGGGAAGAGGAGCTGAATTCTGGCAGGTGCACGACAGCAGCGGGCGTGGCGCGCAGCACGCAGGCGGACAGGGCTGCAAGCGCGCCGGGGCGGTTGGACCGGCTTCCAAATTGGAACCTGATGCGGCGCGCGGGAGAATGGCTGAGGGGCTCGGAGAGGGATGTGGCGAAAAAGCAGCCTCCCTCTCCCGCCGCCGCCACCCCAGGAGCCACCCCGGGAGCCACCCAGGGTTGCCGACACCCTGAGCCACCCTGAGCCAGGCCTGAGCAGCCACCCCTGAGCCGACCCGGGAGCCACCCCACACACCACACCACCCCCCACCCGCCCAGGTTGAAGTTCAGCCCCGACTCCCGCAAGGAAGGGATGTGGGGTGGGATGCTGGGAGGGTGGCTCCCGGGGTGGGGGTGGCTGTGGCGGGACCAGGGGGGGTGCCTGGAGCTTCCTTGCTTCAGCGGGGGGCGCAGAGCCGCCCGGCCAGCCACGTGAATGGCTGGCTGGCCTGGGTGGGCGCCTGGCTGGCTGGCCTGGGTGGCTGGCCAGCCATTCACACCCACCCGCCCACCCACAACCGAAGTACATGTCTGGCCGGCTGTAATATACGGCAGGTTTCTGCTGCTGCTGCCGCTGTCGGTAGGCCACCCCAAACGCGGGGAGCCTTCGCCGCGTTTCAACGCTGCCGCCAGCTACATGCGTGCACGTTCCGCCGGTCCACCTGGGAGCTCTGGAGCCCCAGCCGCTTGCCACCGCCTCTCAGTGTCCCTCGGGGACGCTCCGATCATGAGAGTATCATGCAGGACTCGCAGCAGCCCCGGGCGACGAGGTGCTTCCTGTTGGGTGGCAGCCGTCCCAAGCATCAAACGGAAACAACTACCAACGCGGCTAATTTCGTGTGCGCAGCTGTGCATGCATGATGCATACGGGCCTGGGGCCTGGGGCGCGCGGGAGGAGTTGTGGCGGCGGAGGCTCGGCAACAATGGGCTGGCATTGGCCCGCTGGCGCTCGGCTCCTATATTGCATTGCGATAATGGGAAGATCCGGGCGGAAGGAAGGAAGGCTACGTGTGTGCTTGGCCAATCCATTCCGACACGTCACCCTGCCTTATCCACGCCTGGAGCCCAACACCCCGCGCTGCATTGTTAGCCCCCATTCATTCAAAGTTCCCTGGTCCCCTTCCCCGGCCTTTTCGGCACCGCCTCCCTGCGCTTCGCAGCCATGCAGGCCTCCCTCAAGGTGCAGGCGGCCGCTGCGGCCTCCTCCTGCCGCCGGGCGCAGCAACCCCGCTGCCAGGCCACCTCCCCCATGCAGCCGCGCGCCCCGGGCGTGGCTAAGCCCAGGGTTGGCGACACCCGCAGCCAGCGGAACGTGGCCGCGCACGCCAAGGGGGCCATCAAGCCCATGGAGGCCACATTCACCGAGTTCAAGCTGATCGACAAGAGCCAGAAGGTGCGGTGCAGCTCTGACTTCAGTGGGGAAGTGCTGGCGGCGGCGGCGGCGGCGGCAGGGGCAGTCACACACGCGCAATGTTGCCTGCTGCGTGGAATCCAAGCTCAGCGCGCTAGGAATGATGACGCGTCCTTTTCCTTCTTGCGCCTGCAACATGCGCTGTACAACGCTCCCGCCGCCCGCAGCAAGACTGGATTGCATTGCTGGCCAACGCCGAGTTCTTCTTCAACGACGCCCAGAACGAGCAGATTGCGGAGAACTTGCGCGAGCGGGTGCGCTACCTGTCGGAGAAGGGCGAGGACGTGGACATGTTGTTTGTGTGCGAGCCAGAGTGGCTGGAGCGCCTCTTCCCGGAGCAGGCCAAGCGGCTGCGGCGGCCTGCTGTGGCGCTGCTCTGCCCCGACCGCTCCTGGATGACGTGAGCCTGCTGCTTGGTGGAGGGTGGGGCGCGTGCCCACCTGGAAGTATGGCACGTTTGCTCGGCGTCAATGCGCGCCGGCATGTTGGATACTCCCCACGCGGGCCCAGAACGTCACCTGTGCTTCAGGACTGCCCTGCGCGCTTGCTTCCACCTGCAGATTCATGCGCATCCGCCTGGACCGCGTGATTGAGGTCAGCCTACCCAACATGTCTGCTGAGGAGGTGGCCACATGCGGTCAGCCGGTGCCCAAGTTCCCGCCCCCTGCCAAGTGGACCGCGCCCTACAAGCCCTATGCCTGGGGCTGGTGGGACCGCTTCATGCTCTGAGTGGGCGAGCGCAGGAGGCGCAGGAAACCAATGATCGGCCCCTATCCTGCTGCTGATTCCCGCCTCATCAGGCGGGGGTAGACCTGTCGTCGCACACCTTGTAGGCGTTTGGGTTTTTGCTGACTACTTGCTTTTTCTCCAATTTTTACCTCTTCTCGTTTTCTCGCTCCCACCAATGAATGCTCTTGCATGATTATGTGTGCCAGCACCAGTTGGCACGCGTGTTTCGATGCACAAACACGATACCCTGCATCGTCTCCACACGCCCTTGCTGAACTGTAACCTGCCCACCGCACGAGATGCCAATCTGCGCAGCAGCAAAAGGTTCATTCTCCTCATCTGTGAACACCAGTTCAGCGTGTCTGTTACACGTGCAACAGCGCTGCACCCCCACACCGATCAGCCGTGCTGCGCCGCTTGGTGCGTGAATGCCAACAAGCGGGTGGCTGCCTGCCTCCCAGCTTCAACCATGTCAAGCAACTGACCAGAATTGAGCCGGCCTCGGGTCGACGACATCAGCAGCTGCACGTCACCCCCAACAGTGCTGCTGCCCGCTGGCTTGCTGCCATTGCTGAGCAGCGGCAGGTATGCAAACGTCCCCACCGATGCCGACGCCGCCTCCTCAGCAGCCGAGGGGTCCAGCAGCAGTAGCCCGCCCTGCGCCCCCGCCGCCTGGGCTGCACTGACTGCAGCACATGGCATGCGGAGCGGCACTGCAGCATCCGCCAGGGCAGCATAGGCGGCGTTGAGAGCGCAGGCCAGCACGCCGCCGTCATCCGACACCACCTGTGAGGAGGGGCCACGAGGTAGTGCCGTTGAGAGCCCAAAACAGAGCACGAGGAGATGCGAAGAGGGGCGGGCCAAGGCAGCGCCTCGCAGCCCATTGCACCTGCACTACCACTTGTATGAGCGTGCGGGGGTGCATCGCTGCCACAATGATCGCCTCGCAGGCACGTCGTATCAGCACCTCATGCTGTCGTTCCTGGTTGCCTGCAGAGGCCGCACATGTTTGATGGCCTGAACTGCAGCGTGGCAGTCGGATGCTAGCCACACACGTGCGCATCCAGCCGGAAGATGACCACACATGCGGGCATCTAGCGTCACTTCCTGTGCTTCAGGCATGTGCCTGCCTGAACCACCCAGCGCAGCACAGTGTCCCAAACAAAGCTGTTTTAGCAGCCCTTGCCTACAATCCCCGAGCGGGGGTTGAAAATGACATCCACCGTGGCACGCTCCGCATCCTCCTTGGCCGAGGCAGTGGCCTGCGTGGGGCCCGTCACCGAGGCGAGGCAAGACGTGCCGCCCAGCGTCCACTGCGCCGATCCATCTGCCCGCGTCAGCAGCCCGCGCTCGCACCGCACAGTCCTGTGGGGTGGGCGGCAAGTGAGCCCTGTTCAGGCTGCCCACGGCGGCGCGAGCAAGCGGCAGCCAACTCGCGGGAGCGGGAGCGCAGCAGCGGCGGCGGCACAGCGCGAATCACCTGATTTGGTCCGGTGTGCGCCCGTCATGGCGCTGAATCATATCGTCCTGCTGCCAGGCACGGACACAGTCTTGGCACCGCAGAAGAAAAGGGGTGGTTCGTGGAGAGGCTCTGGTGGGTGTGTATTACTTAGCTATCAAACTGAGGCCAACAACGAGAGGTGTGGGTGCCCTTGGGCCAGCAGGGCGCCAGCACACGTCCATCTCAGTGCTACCGCTGTAGCACAAATTTCTGCAGTGCTACAGCTGAGCTGGTGACAATAATGCCGGTGTGTGATCGTTGAGTGGAGCGTCGACCTCTCTGTTGATCTGTGGCCAGGTGTGGCTGCCCGCCGTTGCGAGAGAGGAGTGTTATTGTATCAATACGGGCCACCTTCATACACTGCGGCTTCCCGGGCGTGTGGATGCCAGCATTAATGGCATTTCAGGGCCGGCGCGGGCAGCTGGCGCCCGCATTTCTTTGGCCGAAGGTTCCTGGTCTCGTCACCACCACGCATGTGCACGTTGCCGAGTACTCACATGAGAGATGCTGCTGATGAGATTTGCGGGCGGGCAAGATTGTGAGGTGACTCACTAAAAAAGCAGCGAGGCGACACAAAAAAGCAGCTGCCGAGCCACCAAAACCACACATCAGCTGGTGACAGCCAATCCTGACCTCACGGCCGTGCCCCACGCTTTCAGCTGGCAACACCGGTGGAGCCGTACCCGCCTGTGCCGCGTGTTGTCTCGTCCAGGCTCTCCACCTCGACCACCTCGGGCGTGGCAATGCGCTCCAGGATGAGCTGTGCCACGCGGTCGCCTCGCCGCACTGTGCGGTGGGTGGGATGGAGCGGCACGAGCGAGGCAGGAAGATCGACGGTGTGCAAACATGCAGAACACAAGACGCATGGCAGTCACCCCTTCCAGCTCTGTCACCAGTCTTGAGATGGCGGTGCCTCACCCTGCCAGTCACTCCTGTGCTCACCCTGGAAGGGGGTTTCCCCGTGGTTGAACAGCACGACGCCCACCTCCCCGCGATAGTCCTCATCCACCACCCCAGCACCGGTGTCAATGAAGTGCTTGACGGCCAGGCCAGACCGTGGCGCCACACGTGCATACGTGCCCGGCGGGATGGCAATCTGCAGGCCGGTCTTCACCACGGCGCGGCCACGTGCAGGCACCTCTGTGTCTTCACAGCTGCAGCCCAGGGGCAGGCAAGGCGCTGGATTGTCGGCAGTGCAGGCGGAGTGAGGCGGGCAGGCAGCAGCACTTGAAGGGTGCAGCTGGAGGAGCATTCGAACGCTGCAGCTGGAGGAGCCCCTCGGCCATGCAGACAGCCGCCCAGTTACCTTACCTGGCCAAATCGAAGCCCGCAGCGCCTGCAGAGCCGCGTTTAGGCAGCACGGCGTGCTCATTCAGGAGGTGCACGCGCAGGGCTTCGCGGAGCTGATGCGCAGGCGGCTCGGTGCGCTGCAGCTTGGCTGCAGGCAAGTTTTCTTGCCCAGTGGCTGCCAGTGTGCTGCGCATGGTGCGAGGTAGGTGAGCAAGGCGGCTGGGGCGCAGAAGGGTCATGCAGCGGCTGGCCAGCATGCAGAGCTTAGAGGGGCCGAATGCCTTGTTGTTTTTGAGCTTTGAATTTGCCACGTGGCTTTCGCACACTTTGGCCATCGCCGCATTCCCGCTTAGGGATTCAAAATAAATCCAGCTGCATGACGGCAAGCGGCATCCGCGCATTCTTTGAGCCCGCCAGCAAGGGTGGGAAATCCCCCACCTTGCTGCCCCGGCAGCCACTCCTGCCAGGCTGCAGCGCGGAAGCAGTAGCTGGAGCAGCAGCAGCAGCGGCAGACACACCACCTGCACTTGATGCACCGCCTGCGGCCACCATGCAGCAGTTCAAGCGCAAGCGCAAGCGGTGCGTATCCCACTATGAATTTCAGGACTTGGATTGGTCTGGATCCCCTGCGTCTGGATCCTCTCCTTTATATTCTAGGTGCTCCAACCATTCACCTCTTCTAATTGCAGCGACGCACCTGCCTGCGTCGGCCAGGAAAGTCCATCAGCTCCTGCTGCGCATCTCGCGCCTGCAGCTGACCCAGCAGCTGCGCAGCTGGCGCCATCTCTCGTGGCCGCACAGGCGGCTCCAGGGCCCAAGACTGGGACACACCAGCTGACGCAGCTGCACCTAGATGTGGGGCAGCGCGACTTCTACTCGTACCGCTGCCCTACCTGCGGCATGGTGTATGCCCGCGGGACAGAGGCAGGTGAGAAAGCGGAGGCGCATTGTCTGGGAAGAGAGTACGTCACCATCATGGCGGCCTGCCTGCCTGAGGGGGCAGAGCAGCACAGTCCGTCTGCTACCTGGCGCCACCTGTTGCCAGGTGTTTCAGAACATCGCAGTCTGTGGCAATTATCCCCTTGCATGCCGCTCGGCATCCCCACCAGCAGACGAGCAGCTACACTCCACGTTTCACGCCAACGCCGCCCACGGCCTGCGCTACCAAGGCTGGCAGGGCGAGCGGGTGGCGGCGGTTGATGGTAGTCGCGGACGGGTGCTGCTGTTCAGCAGCGCAGACCTGGGCCGCGGCCGCAAGGTGCAGTGGTTGGCAGGATGGGGGAGAGGAGGGGAGGGATTGCATTCCTCTGCACAGAGCCATGAACTGCATCGATATATGCCTCATCATGCCTCCAATGGCCCGCCGGCCGCTGCCTTTCCTGGCTTTACAGCCGTTGCAGGAGCTGTGCAGGTTCCTGGAGGAGCAGATGGGGCTGCCACCAGGTTGGCTGCTGCGCGTGCCGCTCACGCTCCTGCTGTACGTCTCGTCGGCACGACGCATCCGGGCTTGCGTTGCAGCAGAGCCCATCAGAGAAGCCTTCCATGTGCACCCCCGAATGCCCACTGGCATGGAGCATGGCATGCACAGTTGCCGCTCAGCAGCAGTGACCGCCCGCAGTGGTGGCACTAGGGGCGGAGCCCAGCACGCAGCAGCAGCACAGCCTTTCATGGCGGTTGCAACAGCGGCAGCAATAGCCATGGCAGAGTATAGTGACGGCAGCGGCGGCGGCCACGATGCAGGTGCAATGACGACTGATGGCATGCATGTGGAGGAGCAGCACGACACAGCTGGCTGTGTGTGCAACCCACAGCAGCAGGAACAGAAGTCAGTTGTGGCAGCATGCCAAGATGCACCGCAGGCCGGAGCTGCCAGCGCTGGCACCTGTCTGGTGCTCGACGGACGCCAGCCAGTGCGCGTTGTGTGCGGCGTACGGCTGATGTGGGTGTCACTGGATGCGCGGCGACAGGGGCTGGCCACACGGCTGCTAGACTGTTGTCGCTGCCAGTTTATGCCTGGCTATGTGCTCCCGCGGCATGAGCTGGCATTCAGGTGGGTAGAGATGGGTGGATGCGACAGCTTTCCGGTGGGTCGCATGCCGCAATGCGGCATGTGGAGCTGAGCCTCAGGGCTGCTGCCACCACGCCCCCACACCCGCCGCGCCTGTGGCCCTCTTCTTGACGCTGCGTTTTCCCTGCTTGCGGCTATGTGGCGCACGTGCTGCAGTGCTCCCACTGATGCGGGGCGCGCCTTGATCGAGGCATACACAGGGACCCGGCGGTTCCTGGTCTACGAGTAAGAAGAACGCTCAAGGCATGTGCTGGCGCACAATGTTTTCCATCTGCAGTAAACCCTTGCAGACTTGCAGCAAACATGAGCTTCCCAGACTTGCAGCAAACATGAGCATGTCACATTGCAGATTTAAAGGGAGAAAAGGCAGAAGCATGTCACAGAATAGAATCGTTTTGATCACTCACGCCTTTAGCCTCTTGGTTCCTGGCCCAGCCTTGCTGCTTGGCTTGGGTCGCTTGCTGAACTGTTCCGAGACGGAAACGGGCGCTGCCAGCAGATCCCCCAGCCGATGCAGGGCCACCGACAGTTTTGCGTTGCCAGCTGCTGCATCCAGCGCGCGGGTGGTGGCATGGCGCACCTCCTGCCACCTGGCACCCTTGCTGCTCGCCAGCTCAACTGCTCGGCCGCTCTCCAACAGCTGGCAGGCCACCTTGACCGTCTCCAGCTGCCGCTGTGGCTTACTGTATTGCGCGCCAACAGCTGCCAGTACTGCCGCTGCAGATGCCGCTTCGTTACTGGCCAGAGCCGCTGGCAGGTCCTTGCCTCCGACCTGCAGGCGAGGCACCAGCTGATGTAGCACTTAACGGGCCACGAACTCTGCTTTTGCCCGTTGTGGCTGCGCTTGCCTCTGTCGCTGCCCTGTGCAGTAGATTCTGCATTGACAAGTACAATGGGATGAAAGGGTGCGAGCCACAGCAAGACTGTCGCACCTTCAGCGCCACAGCCAGCAGCAGGGAGGCCTCCAGACGCAGGTACTCGTTGCGTGCTGTGGCCGCCTGGCGCAACACATCCGACAGCAGATCAGGCACCAGGCGCGGCACACGGCGCATCAGCGACTCAAGAAGCAGCCGCTGCAGCCGCGACTTCTTCTTCAGAAAGAAGTCCGAGAGCGCATCCTTGGCAGACTGCAAACCCTGCAGGAGGGGAGACAGCGCGATTGTTTTCAGGGTTACGCTCTGCATGTAGTTGGCGGCAGGCGGTGCTCACATGCACAACCTTGCCTCACCTTGGCCCGGCAGTCGGCTGCCAAGGAGGCAGCCGCTGCTCGTTGCAGGAAGATATAGCTGGCACTGGCAGCCGTAGCCACGCGCTTGTCGGTAGCGCGGGACGCCAGGTACAGTGTGCGCCGCAGCTGATGCCCCAGCTCCTCAGCCACTAGGCGGTCAGCTGCATAAGGCATGGGGTGCCGTCATTCACTGGAAGAGTGAACAGCCGCATGTAGAATGAGCATGAAGGCCCACGGAGAAGAGTTAGCAATACATCAGCAACACAACAGGCCGATGGTGACCTACCAGCTGCCTCGGCCTTGCTGCCGCACAGCTTGTGCACAATGAGGCTGGACAGGCGCTCGGCCAGTGGTTGGTGGCCACCAGGTCGACTGGCGGCTGCCAGGCCAAGCAATAGTGGGACCACCGCGGTGGGTAGCAGGGGGCTGGTAGGCATCTGCATTATAGGAGGCAGAGCGGTCAAGCCTGGGCGCCCCCCTTGCTGGCTCGTCCCGCAAGCATCCCTTCCAACTCCACAGCATCACTGAGTGCTGCGATGCAGAGAAGGTGCCCACTCATGCACCTTCTCTCCCCCCCCCCAAAAACCACCATCACCAACACATGCCTCAAACCACCCACCCGCTTGCAGAACACCTCCATCAGTGCCGCCACCCGCATCTTGAAGTTGATCAGCTCGTGGCGCGCGGTGCGTGCGCTGCCATCGCTACCCTTCCCCTCCTTGAGCACGGAAAAGTAGCTAGCCAGCTTGGCGTCCATGTGAAACATGGCCTCGTCTGCAGGGCCCAGGAAAGGTGTCATATAAGGGAAGAACAATGAGTGGAGGACACATGCCGCATGGGATGGACTCAAGGTGTGTCCGGCTTCTAATCTGCGAGTGCACCCGTCCGCACCTGACATCGCCTCCTCATCACTGCTCTCGCCCTCCTCGCTCTCGCCATCCTCTTCTATCTTGCCATCATCCGTCGGCAATGCAGCAGGCTTTTCCTCCACGTCTTCCTTGGAACTGCTGTTGCCATCTTCTCCACCCTCTTTGTATGAGGCCTCCGCCTCTGCATCCTCCTCCGTCTCTGCATCCATCTCCATCTCCCTGTCGCCTTCTTGCCCGTCATCTGAGAAAGCATACAAATCGTCTTCCCCGTCTTCGCTGCTGCTATCCAGAGGCTTGGCCAGCACGCGCAGCATGTCAGCCATGCCTGCAGCAGCATGGAGAAGCGCACGCTAAAGCAGAAGAGCCAGACGGCTACCCGGTCACCTCACAGCCAAACAGGCAGCCAATGGCATCATCCAAGGCACAGCCTGCAGGCACCCACCCGTGGCAGTGAGGTTATCAGCAAAGGCACGGAACACATGCTCCACCGCATCCCGCAGCGGTGCCGAGGGCAGCGGTGTCGCATTGCGTGCCAGCAGGCTCAGCAGAACATCCATCAATGTGTCATGCCAGTGCGGCTGCTCGTCATCTCCGGCATCCTCTCCATCGCTCTCGCTGTCGCCCTCGACGCTCTCGCTGTCGCCCTCGACGCTGCTGACGGCTGTTTCGTTCTGCAGCTGCTGCTGGCGCTGCAGGGCAGAACGGCCCACGGCCATGGAGGACACCCTGTCCAGGTCACCAGCCAGCGCAGGGTCGGCAGAAACGGGGTCTGCCAACGCGTGCAACAGCAGCAGGCACAGCAGGTGTGCCAGCGCATGAAGCCGCTGTTGCTCAACAGAAGGGATGGCGCCGCCGGCTGCCAAGCGCGCCTGAAGGCGCTGCAGGGTCTGATGAAGGATGGCAGCCATTGACTCGGCAGTCTCTGCCGCGCCCTCTTGGCCATCTGCTGCCGTGGCCAGCTGGGCAGCACCAGACTGGAGGAGCATGGTCACGAACGCTGCCATGCCACTCAAGTAGAGCTGCGGCTGCAGCTTCTGTGGATAGACCGCCTGCTGTTCTTGCCGACGTGCAGTGTGGCGTGCACCATGCTGATGCAGCTGCTGCTTCTTGTCCAGCACGTCCGCCAGGGTGATAAGGCGTGCAGCGCACAGTTTGCGCTGAGACAGGGGGATATCTATACAGCGCCCCACCATCGCCTTGACTGCCGCATCCTTGCTCTGCACATACAGAGATGAGTGTGGCAAGTGATTGAACCTTGCAGGAAGGATGCAAGATGTCGAGAGGAGGAGATGCATGAGAGAAGCGCAATCCTTGCACAAAGCAAGGGCACCACTGATGAGCAAAACACCACACATTCACACGGCACCCCACCTTTTTGGCAGCTGTAGAGTCGATGGAGAAGAGGGCATGCACAGCCAAGAACTGCAACACCTGGAGCTTCACCTCTGCCGGAACCGATTCCTGCTTCAGAACGCCACAAAGCTGCTCAATAGCCCACTGGCGCTGCTGCACATCGCCAGCGCCATCGTCCTGCACGCTGCTGCTGCTGACGGTCTGCACAAATGTGCCCTGCAGCTGCTGCACATACTGCTCCAATTCCGTAGCATGAGCTTCGCAGATGTCACTGTCAGCGCCATTTCTACCGCCAGCTGCCGTGGCTTTGTCACCAGAGGCCTTCCTGGCATAGCGCTCCAGATCAGGGCTGCCGTGGCGCTGCAGTGCCAGCGACACCGCAATGCGCACCTCTGCATGCACATTGGCGGCCAACAACACTGAATCAAGTCAACGGTGGCAGCGCTCGTACATAGAAATGCAAGCTTGGTGCCAGATGCTCTGCAGGAGGAACAACAGCGCCGCACCGATGTCCACTTGGCGTGCCCGGGCGGCATACCTGGCTTGGCGGTCTTTCCACAGTGTACTGCGATACGCTCCATGCATTTCTTGGCGCCGGCATGCAGGTGGCTATTGCCCTTCTTAAGATTGGTGGCCAGGCAGCGCAAGAAGGCAGGGGTAAACACCAGGGGTACGTGTTGCGGGCTACAAGGGCAGCGCAGGAATGTGCATGGGGAGGGGCAGACATGGACGCTAGTCAGAAGCAGACAAGTCGACATTCCACACCGCCCACACCACACTTGTACCGCTGTTACTGCCGCGTTCTGGTCCGTCCTGCGATGCCCAGGCGCCGGGCTCTTCTCACCCCAGGTGCGGCAGCAGCAGCAGGAAGAGCGTGAAGGCTAGATATTTGCGCTCGTGGCTGGACTGCACCAGGTCGCCATCCACCACGCAGCTCCAAAAAGATTCCAGAGGGCCTGCAGCTGGGCAAAACCCAGCAGCCACTATGGCTCCAGCGCCGCTATTGGTGCCACGCTGCTCCTGCAGGCGGCAAATGTGAAGCGATGGTAGGGCGCGATTCAGGCCACAACCGCAGGAGCAGAAGGCCACTGGCAAATGGCGATGACATTGACTGTTCCACGGTTATTAGTGAGGCAGCTGTTCGCCAGTCCTGCAGCCTCCTGCCTCCCCCCCACCTTTTCTGCGCTGAAGCCAGGCATGAGGAGCGCCAGCAGGGTGGGCCACACGATGTGTAGCCGTGGGTGAGACTGTGTGGTGGCGCGCAGCACTGGCAGCAGCGCCGTCAGGTGATGCCGCGTGAAGAAAGCTGCTGCTGCCACCGCCACTGCCTTGCTGTTTGCGGCGCCTGCATTGTTCATGAACAGGTTGGCGGGCAGGGGGGTGCTGGCATGGAAGCCTTCCGGCAGCAGCGGGCAGGACTGCACCACTGCTGCAGGTAGACGTGGCCACAGCCGCAGCGCCAGCAGCAGAGCCTCTGGGGAGGCGTCGGTGGGCGGCGCGGTGAGCCACGATGCCAGCGGCGCGCCACTGCGTTCCACCAGAGCCACCAGTGTGCTGTCATCTGCTGCTTGGCACAGCTCCAGCAGCACCGTGGCTGCATAGCAAAAGCACCTGGACAATCAGCAGGGACCTGCGAGGCCAGCTTGTGTGTCACATTGCGATGCAGAACGGCTGGGGGGGGGCTACCATGAAGCAGCTGGGAGCGAGGCAAGAGGAGTGAGGCAAGAGGGGCGAGGCAGAGGTGCTGGATGCCAGGGCCCTGGCCCTCACCCGACACCTCCCGCAGGAACGACTTCTTCTGCGCCGCCTGCATAAGGCCCGCTGCCATGCTGGCTGCCAGCTCTGGAGGTACAGGCCGTTCCGACCTCACCACCGCCGCATAGCCAAAAATGCGGCCCAGCAGGGCATCCTTCAGCTCGGAGCCCTGCGCAGCAACGGCCAAGCAAGGTGGCACATGGGGGGCGTGGGGGGG